GTGTAATTTAGTGTAGTGTAATTTAGTGTAGTAGAGTGTAGTGGAGTGTAGTTGTGTAGTTGTAGTGTTGTGTTTTGTAGTGTAGTGTAGTGGAGTGTAGTGTAGCGGAGTGTAGTGTAGTGTAATGTGTAGTGTAGTGAAGCGAAGCGACATCTGAACCTCCAAAAGTGGTCCAAACCCGTGGTGTTTTGACATTTTGACTTCGAAATGTGCTTCGCGCCACAACGGCGTGCACTTTTTCGACATCTCAACTTCCAAAAGTGGTCCGAGAATGGTGTGTTTTGTACATTTTGACTTCGACATGTGCTTCGCGCCACAACGGCGTGCACTTTTTCGACATCTCAACTTCCAAAAGTGGTCGAATCCCTGGTGTTTTTTGTACGTTTTGACTTGGAAATGTGCTTCGCGCCGCAACGGCGTGCACTTTTTAAACATCTCAACTTCCAAAAGTGGTCCGAGAATGGTGTGTTTTGTACATTTTGACTTCGAAATGTGCTTCGCGCCACAACGGCGTGCACTTTTTTCGACATCTCAACTTCCAAAAGTGGTCCGATGCTGGTGTGTTTTGTACATATTGACTTGGAAATGTGCTTCGCGCCACAACGGTGTGCACTTTTTCAACATCTCAACTTCCAAAAGTGGTCCGAACCCCTCAGTTTTTAACACATTTTACTTCCAAATGTGCTTCGCGCCACAACGGCGTGCAACTTTTCATCTCTCATCTCCCCAGATGTCTCCGCACCCGCCGCTTTAGCGAGCCTACTTTTCAACCCTCCGGAGCCACAAAACCACGAAAAAACACAGTGTTTCGCGACTTTCCTACCTTTTCGCGCACCTGCATCTTCTTTCTTCTGATTTTTTCTCTTCTGACTCTTCTCCCTGCTGACTGCTTTTTCATCTCTCCATATTGTCGGAAGTTTGACTTCCAAACTTCCTTCGACCAGTCCGTTATGGGCCGAACAAGTCGATTTCTTGCGCGTTTTTCCTTTCTTAAGCCCTGAAAGTTTTAACCTGACATGCTGCCTTGGTTGGGTGTTCGTCATTCTGTGGCTCAAGAACTTTCAAGTCGAGCTGAAGTGGTTTACACCAAAAATCGCATAGCGCTGTCTGATCTTAGGATTCCAGAGCGGTGACCGCTCCCTCTATGGTTCCTGCTCATGCTGACATATGCTGACCAAGCGACCACCCCTAATGCAACATGAATCTACATTTTCTATTGCAATTCTTGTGCATCTTGTACAGCGCACTTGGACACCGCCATGCATCACCAAGCCCGGCCCCTGGAGGTTGTGTTGTGGAGTGGTGCCAGAGTTTGAACTGAAATATACATTGGTTGCAAGTGCACTGTTGTGAATGTTGTGCATTTCCTGCTTCCCCAGGTCAGGAAGTCTTGCAAAAGCAAGGCATGGTTGGTGGAAGCCTCAAAATTGGCCTCTTGTGCCTTGTGAAGCTTCACAGATTTTGAATGCCAGTGATGCCAGTGATGCCAGTGATGTCACTTTCCAATCTGAGCCCCGGGTGTTTTCCCACACGTTTGTCATTCGCCTTGACCGGCATTGCATCGGCAGTTGGAACTCAGGGTGGCAAAGGCTTGGACCTTAAGGGGGCTAAGGCTGGAACTGCAAAGCTGCAACTGTCTGCAACTGGCTGCACCCATCAAAACGCCGGAACCAGTTTTCATCAGTTTTCCGTATTTTTCTTTTACTTGTCGACTTGTTGGTGTCGGATCTCGGGCCTCGGGCATGGCGGGAAATTGGTCAATGGCAGAGCACTTGAAATTCGAAGGTTTTCAGTCTGCCGGCAGGGCCAGCAGAGTCCAGTAAACCCGGACAGGCTTTGCGGAACCTCCATGTGCAATCTGCACAAGCGGAGAGGCGAAAAGACTGGGCAACTTGAAGTTGTTGATTTCATCACAGTTGGTGCAAAGTACCGAACTTGTTCAGTTCTTCAACCGTGACAGAAATGAACCGTTTTCAACCGTTGATGAGTTTGGTGTAGAGACTGGGTCCACCTTGGGAGGCATGCGCTTGAGTTGGCCTTGCTTCGAAAAGAGTTGGAGATTTGCCGCAGTGAGGCGGCTGCCCAGATCCAGGCGCCATGTTACCGTGTCCGACTTGTGACCCTGTTGCCAACTCCGTTTGGCTCAGGCACTCCGTGAAGAGCTCCGGAGTATGGGACTGGTGAAATTGGAGGCGCGAAACAGGGTTGAGCAAAAGAAATTGCGAAATTCCGTGTTCCTTGGAACCTCAGAACTAGACGACGGATGGCCCGAGAGCGTAGAGGAGCAGGGTCTTCTCTTGTTAGTATGGAGACACAATTTTAGAAACAATATATGAAAGATGTGTTATAGGCAGTCGAGAAGAGGAGTATCAAGACAAAATAGTGAGAAGTGCAAGACAATAGTTTGCATCGCAAACACTTTTACACACAGACGCTTTTACACACAAAAGCTTTTAGACACAGAAGCTTTTACACACAGAAGCTTTTACACAAACGCTTTTACACACAAAGCTTTTACCCACAGAAGCTTTTACATACAGAAGCTTTTACATACAGAAGCTTTTACACACAGACGCTTTTACACAGACACTTTTACACACAGACACGTTTACACACAGACACTTTTACACACAAACCCTTTTACACACAGACACTTTTACACACAAAAGCTTTTACACACAGACACTTCTACACAGATGCACTTCTACACACAAACACTTTTACACACAAACATCTTCACACAGAAACACTCTTACACACAAACCCTTTTACACAGAGACACTTTTACACAAAAGCTTTTACACACAAACACTTTTACACAGATGCACTTGTACACACAAACACTTTTACACACAAACATCTTTCCACCGAAACACTCCGACACACAAACACGTTTACACACAAACACTTTTACACACAGAAGCTTTTACACACAGACACTTCTACACAGATGCACTTCTACACACAAACACTTTTACACACAAACATCTTCACACAGAAACACTCTTACACACAAAAGCGTTTACACAGAGACACTTTTACACACAAAAGCGTTTACACACAAACACTTTTACACATATGCACTTGTGCACACAAACACTTTTACACACAAACATCATTCCACCGAAACACTCCGACACACAAACACGTTTACACACAAACACTTTTACACACAGAAGCTTTTACACACAAACACGTTTAAACAGATGCAATTTTACATACAATCACTTTTACACACAAACATCTTTACACAGAAACACTCGTACACACAAACCCATTTACACACAAAGACTTTTACACACAGAAGGTTTTACACACAAACACTTTTACACAGATGCACTTTTACACACAAACACTTTTACACCCAAACATCTTTACACAGAAACACTCGTACACACAAACCCATTTACACACAAACACTCTTACACACAGAAGCTTTTACACACAAACACTTTTACATAGATGCTCCGGGACAAGTAAAATCGCAATTTTACCTCAGTTTTTGACGATCAACACTCATTTCGTGCGAAAGGGTTGCTCCGGGGCAAGTAAAATCGCAATTTTACCTCAGTTTTCGCCGATCGACCCTCATTTCGTGTGAAAGGGTTGCTCCGGGACAAGTAAAATCGCAATTTTGCCTCAGTTTTTGCCGATCGAACCTCATTTCGTGCGAAAGGGTTGCTCCGGGACACGTAAAATCGCAATTTTTCCGCAGTTTTTGCCGATCGAACCTCATTTCGTGCGAAAGGGTTGCTCCGGGACACGTAAAATCGCAATTTTTCCGCAGTTTTTGACGATCGAACCTCATTTCGTGCGAAAGGGTTGACGTTTCTTGACTCCCCGCCGGTACCACCCTCGGCACTAAGAGCAGAAAGATACAGAAGGCTAGAGAGAGAAAAGGGAGAGAAAGGATAGCATATGTGAAGACTGAGAAGATGTGAAGATGAGCAGATGTGAAGATGAGCAGATGTGAAGATGAGCAGATGTGAAGATGAGAAGATGTGAAGATGAACAGATGTGAAGATGAGAAGATGAGATACAGATGTGAAGATGAGCAGATGTGAAGATGAGCAGATGTGAGAGAAGATGTGAGAGAAGAGGTGAGGATGAGCAGATGTGAGCAGATGTGAAGATGAGCAGATGTGAAGATGAGCAGATGTGAAGATGAGCAGATGTGAAGATGAGAAGGTGTGAAGATGAGCAGATGTGAAGATGAGCAGATGTGAAGATGAGCAGATGTGAAGATGAGCAGATGTGAAGATGAGAAGATGTGAAGATGAGCAGATGTGAAGATGAGCAGATGTGAAGATGAGAAGATGAGATACAGACCCCCACTATTGGAAGAACCCTGCGCTCAGACGCTCTCGGGAAAAAAGGCAAGATGCCAGAAACACACTGCTTTCACGGCAGCTGTGCGACAAGCATCATACCAAGTTTGGGCCAGACCCTCTTCTGTCAGGCTTCTTCGTTGAATTCTGCAAAAATCCATCGGTCTCGCAATCTTAGGGAGCAGAAAGACATGATTCCCAAACAGACATGTTTACTGTTTACCTGAGTCAAAGACATCTTTTTGCCACTCTTGATCTGCCATGGCCGTTGACAAAATAAGACTGCAAAAATGAGTCTTCTCTCAGGCAAACTCAAACATTGCCAAACGAACTTTGGATGTTCATTCTTGAAAGGAACCAGAAGAAACCATTGAGATGGCAGCAGAGGACAGACAGTTGCTTTTGCGTTTCACAGCACTACTGTGATGTCAACTTTGCTTAACACTGATTTGGAGATAGATGAATGGTAACGATGGCAACTTGCCTTTCATGAGGTCTGCTTGAACGTTTCATTTGCAGGTTCGGGGGGCTGTACAGGCTGAACACCAACAATGGCATTTCATGCCATCGGTTGGAACATGGTGGGCATCTCAGAGTTTTTATATGTTTTTATCCCATTCGGATCCGTTTGGATATATTTGGATCGGGGCCCATTTGGCTTCAAAGCTTGAAACAGGAGTCAGCATATATGTCTGCTTGATTCTGCTTGTCTGTGGTTCAGAGTTGATGGCTTCTTGATGGAGCTTGCCAAACTTTCAACAGATTCACTGCGTTTGAAACTTAATCGGAACGGATGGGTGCTGGTCTAAGGATCCAGCGACCAATTCAGCTTCAGATCCAGGACGCGCCGTGGTTTGGTCTTGCACTTTCGGGTTTTAGTAGAAAGACATGATTCCCAAATAAAGATGTTTACGGAACCCCTTCACATGTCTCTGACTTTGCTGATCTGTTATGGAAGACTGGGTTTGCTTAAAGGAGATATCGCGCATTGTCAAACGAGCTTTGCTTTCCATTCTTGAAATGGGCCACCTCCATCAAACGAACTTTGGATGTTCATTCTTGAAAGGAGCCAGAAGAAGCCATTGAGATGGCAGCAGAGGACAGACAGTGGCTTTTGCGTTTCACAGCACTACTGTGATGTCAACTTTGCTTAACACTGATTTGGAGATAGATGAATGGTAACGATGGCAACTTGCCTTTCATGAGGTCTGCTTGAACGTTTCATTTGCAGGTTCGGGGGGCTGTACAGGCTGAACACCAACAATGGCATTTCAAGCCATCGGTTGGAACGTGGTGGGCATCTCAGAGTTTTTATCCCATTCGGATCCGTTTGGATATATTTGGATCGGGGCCCATTTGGCTTCGAAGCTTGAAACAGGAGTCAGCATATATGTCTGCTTGATTCTGCTTGTCTGTGGTTCAGAGTTCATGGCTTCTTGATTGAGCTTGCCAAACTTTCAACAGATTCACTGCGTTTGAAACTTAATCGGAACGGATGGGTGCTGGTCTAAGGATCCAACGACCAATTCAGCTTCAGATCCAGGACGCGCCGTGGTTTGGTCTTGCACTTTCGGGTTTTAGTAGAAAGACATGATTCCCAAATAAAGATGTTTACGGAACCCCTTCACATGTCTCTGACTTTGCTGATCTGTTATGGAAGACTGGGTTTGCTTAAAGGAGATATCGCGCATTGTCAAACGAGCTTTGCTTTCCATTCAAACGAACTTTGGATGTTCATTCTTGAAAGGAGCCAGAAGAAGCCATTGAGATGGCAGCAGAGGACAGACAGTTGCTTTTGCGTTTCACAGCACTACTGTGATTTCAACTTTGCTTAACACTGATTTGGAGATAGATGAATGGTAACGATGGCAACTTGCCTTTCATGAGGTCTGCTTGAACGTTTCATTTGCAGGTTCGGGGGAATGAACACCAACCGTGGCATTTCAAGCCGTCGGTTGGAACATGGTGGGCATCTCAGAGTTTTTATCCCATTCGGATCCGTTTGGATATATTTGGATCGGGGCCCATTTGGCTTCAAAGCTTGAAACAGGAGTCAGCATATATGTCTGCTTGATTCTGCTTGTCTGTGGTTCAGAGTTGATGGCTTCTTGATGGAGCTTGCCAAACTTTCAACAGATTCACTGCGTTTGAAACTTAATCGGAACGGATGGGTGCTGGTCTAAGGATCCAGCGACCAATTCAGCTTCAGATCCAGGACGCGCCGTGGTTTGGTCTTGCACTTTCGGGTTTTAGTAGAAAGACATGATTCCCAAATAAAGATGTTTACGGAACCCCTTCACATGTCTCTGACTTTGCTGATCTGTTATGGAAGACTGGGTTTGCTCAAAGGAGATATCGCGCATTGTCAAACGAGCTTTGCTTTCCATTCTTGAAATGAGCCACCTCCATCAAACGAACTTTGGATGTTCATTCTTGAAAGGAGCCAGAAGAAGCCATTGAGATGGCAGCAGAGGACAGACAGTGGCTTTTGCGTTTCACAGCACTACTGTGATGTCAACTTTGCTTAACACTGATTTGGAGATAGATGAATGGTAACGATGGCAACTTGCCTTTCATGAGGTCTGCTTGAACGTTTCATTTGCAGGTTCGGGGGGCTGTACAGGCTGAACACCAACAATGGCATTTCAAGCCATCGGTTGGAACATGGTGGGCATCTCAGAGTTTTTATCCCATTCGGATCCGTTTGGATATATTTGGATCGGGGCCCATTTGGCTTCAAAGCTTGAAACAGGAGTCAGCATATATGTCTGCTTGATTCTGCTTGTCTGTGGTTCAGAGTTCATGGCTTCTTGATTGAGCTTGCCAAACTTTCAACAGATTCACTGCGTTTGAAACTTAATCGGAACGGATGGGTGCTGGTCTAAGGATCCAACGACCAATTCAGCTTCAGATCCAGGACGCGCCGTGGTTTGGTCTTGCACTTTCGGGTTTTAGTAGAAAGACATGATTCCCAAATAAAGATGTTTACGGAACCCCTTCACATGTCTCTGACTTTGCTGATCTGTTATGGAAGACTGGGTTTGCTCAAAGGAGATATCGCGCATTGTCAAACGAGCTTTGCTTTCCATTCTTGAAATGAGCCACCTCCATCAAACGAACTTTGGATGTTCATTCTTGAAAGGAGCCAGCTCTAGCCAGAGAGATGGCAGATGAGGACAGACAGTTGCTTTTGCGTTTCACAGCACTACTCTGATTTCAACTTTGCTTAACACTGATTTGGAGATAGATGGATGGTAACGATGGCAACTTGCCTTTCATGAGGTCTGCTTGAACGTTTCATTTGCAGGTTCGGGGGGGTGAAGGGCCAATATGGAATTTAAAGCCATCGGTTGGAACATGGTGGGCATCTCAGAGTTTTTATCCCATTCGGATCCGTTTGGATATATTTGGATCGGGGCCCAGTTGGCTTCAGAGCTTGAAACAGGAGTCAGCATATATGTCTGCTTGATCTGTTATGGAAGACTGGGTTTGCTCAAAGGAGATATCACGCATTGTCAAACGAGCTTTGCTTTCCATTCTTGAAATGAGCCACCTCCATCAAACGAACTTTGGATGTTCATTCTTGAAAGGAGCCAGAAGAAGCCATTGAGATTGAAGCTGAGGACAGACAGTGGCTTTTGCGTTTCACAGCAATACTCTGATTTCAACTTTGCTTAACACTGATTTGGAGATTCATGGATGGTGATGATGGCAACTTTTTTTTCATGAGGTCTGCTTCATTTGCAGGTTCGGGGGTCTGAAGAGAAACATTTTAATTGAAGCCATCTGTAGGAACATGGTGGGCATCTTAGAGTTTTATCCCATTTGGAATTATTTTCCTCAGGGCTCAGTTGACTGCAAACCTCATTTTTAGCGGATCCATTCACATATCTATGCCACTGTTGAATTGTCATGGCCATCGGCTAATCGGTACAAGCTGGAAGACTGGCTTTGTTTGGAGATCTCAAATCTTCGAAGCCAGCTGTGGCTATTCCCATGGCTGAGGAGAGACCTCTTTGTGAACCATGGCAGCTCACCTTTCATAAGGCTTGTTTGCACATATTGGCTGTGATGGTCGCGGGACCACTCCTTCTGGGAGGAATTTGATGGAATTTGGTGACCGATCGGCTCGTGCAATTCAACACGCAAACACAGAGACGCACTCGATGCGGCATGAAGCTGATGATGGAGCTGGCGTGGCCAGGACGACAACGATGAAAGGTACTTTTCATCCTTGTCGTCTTGGCCAGTGATGGGGAAGTGAAGCCAGAGAAGCAGAAAGAAGATATCACAGGGGTCTGTAGGATGTGACGATTTTTCCCCAACAGCGTAAGCTAATGGGGTCTTCAGCCCAGAATAGCTCCGGTGTGCACGGGTGCAGGCGCTGGGGCGGGTTCAACAGGGTTCCGGAGAAGGTTCCGGAGAAGGTTCCGGAGAAGGTTCCAGGAAGCCTTGGGTGCAAAGCCAAGTCAAGTTCAACGGTTCCGAAGAAGGTTGCAGAAGCCAAGCCAGGTCAGGTTTATTTTACCCCCGGAATTTCTAGCGGAGGTGTTTCCAGCGCTTGGCTTCGCAGCGCGTTTCAGAAAGATTTGTAAAAATAAAATGCCGCGGCTGTTGGGGATATCACTCAAACTATTTTTTACTGAAGACGAAGGCGAATGTTCTTACACTATCCCCCTTGTGATATCCTCTACGAAATGGGGGGGGTTAACCCCCAGAAACGGAACCTAAATGATATAGGTTTTTTTTAGCTTTTTTGGAAGGGTTGGGTGAAGCCATTTTGTAGTGCCCCAAAAAATTGATAAACCAAACTGTAGTGTTTTTTTTTAAAGTGCCCATTCAATTTTGGCCAAGAAAATTATAAACCAAACTGTAGACATTATCGGCCAGTTGAGGCTGGGTTCCAAGAAAATTAAAAAACCAATCTGTAGTGACTTTGTGTTCTCAAAGTGCCAAATGTTGATTTCCAAGAAAATTACAAAACCAATCTGTAGTCATTTTCAGTGCTCAGTGCTCATTTGCAAGAAAATTGCAGAACCAATCTGTAGTGACTTGGTTTTTAAAAAGTGCCCATTCAGTTTTGGCCAAGAAAATTATAAACCAAACTGTAGACTTTGTCGGTGGTTCGGTGCTGGTTTCTAAGAAAACTGAAAAACCAATTTGTAGTGACTTTGTGTTTTCATTTGTGATAAGTGCTGATTTCCAAGAAAATTACAGAACCAATCTGTAGTGACTTTGTGATGAAGGATGAAGATTATGAAGAATGTTTTGTATTGTTTTTATTGTTTTGTGAGATGTGAGATAGTTGGGTGCAGCCAGTGCAGAGGTTTGCTGCCGGTAGTTTGGCTATGCGTAGCTATTCAGGAATGGAACGACAAAGTGCCGCAGCCACAAGGGTAAAAAAAACAACCGCCAGATTCACATGTGCATGGTAATGCATGGTAATGCATGGTGATGCATGGTGATGGGAGCGGTGGATAGTGGTGGGAGATGGTGGGAGGGGGATTCTGGATGATTCATGATAATTCTGGAGTCACCTGGAATCTAAATTGCAATCTTTTACAATCTTTTATCTACAGATAGACACAGATTTATATACATACATATATAGATTTAGCATGATTTAGCCTTACAGAATGGTTTTGTAGTTTTTTGCTGAAAACAACGAACCAGCCTACAAAATGGTTTATAGTTTTTTTGAAAAATGCCAACCCATAGTTCACAAATAGGTTCGGTTTTACAAAATGGTTTTGTTTTTTTGGGGGGGAACTTTTCACAGATGGGTTTATGTGCCGAACAACTTTACAAAATTGTTTTGTTTTTTCAGAAAAATGAAAAACTTTTGCCTTTCAATCAATACTACTAAATGGTTTTAGAAAATATTTTTGGATTTGGCCAGAGGTTGGGGTTGCCTTTGCAAAATGGTTTTGGTTCTTTTCTAAAAACAACGAATATCCCTACAAAATGGTTTGTAGTTTTTTGGGAAAATGTAAACTCATTGATTCAAAAATGATTGAGCCTTACAGAATGGTTTATAAAATTCCTGGAAATCTGAAGATATCTGAAGTTATTTCTACAAAATGGTTTGTAAAATAATTGCTACACAATGGTATTTGAAATGTTTTTCCTCAAAATACATTTAAAAAGCCATTTTGTAGGGAGCCTTCAACCATTCTGCAGTGGGGTGGGGTTGGGTGCCTCTACGTTTTGGCTCCCCCAACCCAACCCCCCGAATTCCAAGTGGGATTGTTTTGCATTGTTTTATATTGTTTTGTGAAATGTGAGACAGTTGGGTGCAGCCAATCAGTGCAGAGGTTTGCTGCCGGTAGTTTGGCTATGCGTAGCTATTCAGCAATGGAACGACAAAGTGCCGCAGCCACAGGGGTAAAAAAAGAAACGCCAGATTCACATGGTTTCGTGCCTGGTGATGCATGGTGATGATTGGATATGAATGGATATGATTGGTGAATATTGGTGATGCATGGTGATGCATGGTGATGGGAGCGGTGGATAGTGGATGATACTGGATGATAGATGATGATAGTGGATGATAGTGGTGGGAAGGGGATTCTGGATGATTCATGATGATGCTGGAATCATCTGGAATCTATTTTTACAATCTTTTACAATCTTTTACATACAGATAGACACAGATTTATATATATATAGATTTAGCATGATTTAGCCTTACAGAATGGTTTTGTAGTTTTTTGCTGAAAACAACGAACCAGCCTACAAAATGGTTTATAGTTTTTTTGAAAAATGCCAACCCATAGTTCACAAATAGGTTCGGTTTTACAAAATGGTTTTGTTTTTTTTGGGGGGAACTTTTCACAGATGGGTTTATGTGCTGAACAACTTTACAAACTGGTTTTGATGTTTTTTCAGAAAAATGAAAAACACCTGATTTTTTTCAAGGAATGCTACTAAATGGTTTTATATTTTTTTTGGGGATTTGGCCAGAGGTTGGGGTTGCCTTTACAAAATGGTTTTGGTTCTTTTCTAAAAACAACGAATATCCCTACAAAATGGTTTGTAGTTTTTTTGGGACAATGTAAACTCATTGATTCAAAAATGATTGAGCCTTACAGAATGGTTTATAAAATTCTTGGAAATCTGAAGATATCTGAAGTTTTTTCTACAAAATGGTTTGTAAAATAATTGCTACACAATGGTTTTTAAATGTTTCTCATCAAAAAAGACATTTAAAAACCATTTTGTAGGGAGTTTGGGGTTGGGTGCCTCTACGTTTTGGCTCCCCCAACCCAACCCCCCAAATTCCAAGGGGGATCTTACACTTACACGGTCATGTTGACATGTTGCAACTGCCACAAACAAGGAAAAGGAGGGTCATTTTCTTTGACCCTCCGCATCGAAGACATAAGCAAAACCTTCTTGGATCAAACTTACAGTCATCCTGATTTCCTGAGTTCGGAATGATCATGGAATGATCTGGTTCCCTGAAGTCAGCATGTTTCAGTTTCAGTACGATGATGAAATGCGCTGCTCCTGTAGCTACAGTGAATTGGTCACGTGTGTCCGGGATCCCGGTAAACTCTTACAAAATACGTGGGGGTGCAATTCCAGCGAGAAGTGGATACATACCCATTGGAGTTACCCAACTTCATACTGATTATGACCTATTACATCCTATCACCTTGGCTACACCAATGAGTAAGCCCAACTGCACGCCCACATATGTAACCAATTGATCCTAATTAGATATTTGAATGGTTCTGATGCCAGCTTCGCCACTCCAGGAGGAACGGTGGCATGATGATGTGTGGATCCCATACAGCACGATGTTGCGAGAAACGGTGGTGTCTTGTCTCGGGGGGCCTAAAAACAGGCTGTCTCCAAAATTGCAGGATTTATCATCCTGAACCATTGGACTTGGTGCCCAATTGAAAGCTATTTTAAAACCTACCACCCTTGGGTGGCTCAAAATTAAGGTAGCATAGCAATGCCGTCAATGGAGCTACAACATGAGTCATTTCTTGTCAAACGTACCGATTTACGAAAAGAACCTCATTCTTATCATTTTCCCTTTTTGTCTGGGAAAAGCGGAGACCAAGATTTGCACGGTGAACACCTGTCAGCAGACTCGCATTTTCTCTTGTTTTTTCCCCCAAACAGTGTGGCCACACTGAGGGGTTCTTGTGGTAGGTGTTGAGGCCCGGTGTTCATTTGAGGTGGTGTCATCCGTGTCCGGCAAATTTGGTGACCCTTACAGCACACAAGTTCCTTCATCTTCCGTTTTCGAAGGAAGTCTCGCAGGAACCTTTTACTATAGGGCGCCGTGCTCTTTTTTTGAGCTATGTCCATTTTTCGTGGCAGGCGTGGCATTTCGGGACATTTTGAAGTCTGAAACGTTGTCTTCCGTGACAGGTGCAGGACATCGGACACGTTTTCATTCGTGTGGCAGGCATGGTGCTTTCTGCATGTTGCTAAAACGTTGCGTGGGTAAAGATGAGAGGTGCTTTTGAAGGCCATGTTTCATGGCAGGCGCAATATACCTGGTGAACTTGGACGACATTGTGAAAGGATCGAAATCGCGTTTTGTGAAACTGTCGTCGAATATGATGATTCCGTGTGGCAAGCGCAGCACTCCTTGCGTTCATTTTTCGTGGCAGGCGCAGTACTTTGTAGACCCCGACAAAAAATGGCTGAGACCCAGGTAAAACGTCGTTTTTGACTTTTTCAATGTTATGTTTTTGTTGTGCGCGCAGTGTCTTGTAAAGATCATAACATGTGCTCGCGCAACCCTCTTGTCACTTTGTGCGCGTCGGATCGCTCTCGTTGTGGCACGGTTTTGACATGGCTCGCAGCCTGCTCGTCACTTTGGGCCTGTCAGATGGATCTCCTTGTGTCGCGGTGCTCATTTTGAAATCGCTCGCGCAACTCCTCGTCACTTTGGGTTTGTCTCAATACTAGGTACCCCCAAATCCGACGGTTTGTGGGTGTTTGTTGCTATATTTGCGTTCAATTGACCGTTCTTGAGGTGCCCAATTTCAAGACAAATTGGTGATGACCCAACCTCAAGAACGGATCCTGGTGTCAGGTAACAGAGGAGGAGATGCAGTGGCGGGCTTTACAATCCTTTGAAGTCCGCCAGTTCCCGGAGTATCCGAGGAATAACCTCACAGGTGGGGATCGGGAAAGCTGGGGATTGCTATGTGATAGCCCTAAGGGGAGCAGATGTGAAAGGGAAGGACGGACTATGGCATTGCTGGAGAGATGTTGGTTGCCATTTGTGTTTGTATATTATGTCTCTGTTTTGATGTGTATTGTGAATTGTTTGCACGTGGTCCATGTCAAAATGTTCAAGGGACGGACCCCCAAGCCATGCCCAGGCGAGAGGGTCGAGGCGCAGCAGACGGTTGAGGTGACGCACATAGTAAAACAGCACTGCGAGAGCGATTTCCTCAAGCTGGCGAGCGGAGGGTATGTCTTCACGAAGAGCCGTGGCTTGGATCGAACGTAGGTTGGAGATATCTGGCGAGATATTGGGGACCTCAAAGCAGCAGATTCTTGTTGCTTTTGTTTTCAGCAACCCAATCTCATTTCAGATAGGGCAAACATTGACAGGTACGAAGTTCAAACACACACGGAGACCACAGAATTCAGCCCTGTCATCACATGTGCCGAAGGAATAGGGAAAAGCCGAACGTCGTAAAAGATTTGCAGAACCCTCCGTATGGAGTGAAGTGTTCCAGATCATGGATGTTCCAGCACTTTGTCCATGACAGAATTTGAGAGGCTCCGGGATCCGTCTCTTCGAGAGAGTTGAAGAATCCAAGCTGCAGATGGACTCTCTTGGATCCTTGTAGGTTTTCTTGGGGATGGCTCAAATCTCAAGCTTTTACATACAGATAGTCAGATAAACTATTTTGATGGATACTATAGATCGATACACCCTAAATTGAAGTGTTTGATTTGATACAATGGGTCACCGTGTGGTCTTGGTCAAGTCAAAGTGCCAAAATCCGAGCCCAAAGCATGTCAAATTAGCTCAACAAATCGCCCCAGGAGTCAGCGGAGTCAACGGCACGATACCACAATTGGCACAACCAAAGCGGCACTTGGAAGGGGCGTCAGTTTCTTGATTGCAGATGCGATAAAAAACAGGTGATGAATGATGAATCCAATACTGTATTGGAATATGTTGGAATGATCCGCAGGTAAAACCAGGAGCCAGGTAGTATGACCCCCTACAATATCAGCAGGCTCTTAATGCGATAGCTCACATCAACCTGGGACATCCAACGATCGGAGCAGGGAGCATTGAATCATCGACTGGATTGAAATGATTTCCAGGTCTCTTGGAAAGGTATGATGTGCTGCCACGAAAAAGTGTGAGGGGAGCATGGCACCATCCAGATGTTTGACCCTGCACTGCTGCAGTTCATCATTTGAAACATGGGCCACTTGGCAATCACCTTAGGAGGCGTAAACATGCGTAAACCAAATTGTAGAAATTGAAGGAAGTTCAATGAAGTTCAAGTGTTCTATATGTTCTGCTAGCCCTAAGGCCTTTTCGGTGTGCGATCAGCCGTATTGATTTTCTGAGGTGGCAGTGGCAGGACAAAAAAGAAGAGAAGTGGAGCGAGCATCGATCCCGGGGAACAGGTTCGAACCGGGACTGGCGGGAGCCTCACATCGTGGAACTTCAGAAAGGTATTCGACAAGCAATGCAAGGCAGAGATGCAAGGCAATACAAGGCACGCTGTCACCAGATGCGAAACGCGAACGCATCATTCTTTGCGACAGTTTGGCTGCATACTCTTTCACGGTTGGTTGTCATTGAATCTGAACTGAGAGTAGTGGCCAGAATGTAGTTTCAACGGTGGTTTCGTTGAAGTTTGTTTTTTTCCCAACCGTGTAAGCTAATGGGGTCTTCACCCCAGAAAAGCTCCGGTGCGCACTGGTGCAGGCGCCGGGTCAGGTTCAACGAGGCTCCGAAGTTTCCGGAGAAGGTCTGGGAGGCCTCCGGTGCAGAGCCCGGTCAGGTTCAGGGTTCCGGAGAAGGTTCCGGAGAAGGTTCCAGGAAGCCTTGCATGGTGCAAAGCCAAGTCAGGTTCAACAGGGTTCCGGAGAAAGTTCCCAGAGAAGGTTCCGGAGAAGGTCGGGGAGGCTGCCAGGTCAGGTTCAACAGGGTTCCGTAGAAGGTTCGGGGAAGCTTGGTGCGGAGCCAGGTCAGGTTCAACAGGGTTCCTTAAGAAGGTCCCAGGGAAGGTCTGGAAGGCTTTGGTGCAGAGCCGGAGAAAGTCTAGGAGGCTTTGGTCCAAAACCAGGTCGAGAAGGTTCCGGAGAAGGTGTGGCAGGCTTTAGTGCAGAGCCAGGTCAGGCTCAACCCGGAGAAGGTTCCCGAGAAGATTCCATTGGTGCAGAGCCAGGTCAGGTTCAACCGGGTTTCGGAGAAAGTTCCGAGAAGGTTCCGAGAAAGTCCGGGAAGCTTCAGTGCAGAGCCAGGTTTTGTTCAACAGGGTTCCGGAGAAGGTTCCGGAGAAGCTCTGGGAGGCTTTGGTGCAAAGCCAGGTGAGGTTCAACAGGGTTCCGAAGAAGGTTCCGGAGAAGGTCGGGGAGGCTTTGGTGCAGAGCCAGGTCAGGTTCAACAGAGTTCCGGAGAAAGTTCCGGAGAAGGTTGCAGAGAAGGTTTCGGAGAAGGTTCCGGAGAAGGTTGCAGAGAAGGTTCCGGAGAAGTTCGTTTTTCCCCCTTTTTTTGTTTTCGTGCATGTGCACGCTTCAGAAAGATCTGTAAAAATAAACGTTGCGGCTGTTGGCGGTACCACCGAAGCTTATTTTTGGTTGTTTTCATTTGCCAGGAAAGTTTCTTGAAAACGTCAGTCTGCTCCAGTCTTTGCTCCTCCACGCCTTTTTTGGCGCCTTCTCTGCGCCTCTGCGCCTCTGCGCCTGCGCTGCACCGCTGTGATACAACAAGCAGCTTCTGCAGGGCTCACCGGACCCGAACACCATCGTAAGCTCGCAGACTCTCTTGGGTTTGCCAGACATGAGCACTATGCCAGATACAATGTAAGATCAAGTACCAGATCAAATCCCGAAACATTAAAAGATAAGGGGAATATGGCAACATCCAGATGTTTGATCCTGCACTGCTGCAGTTCATCACCTTTCACACTGGGGCGCTTTCTTCACAATGTCGTCAGAGCTGTTAACAAGCATGGGCTGCTTAATCACCTTAGGAGGCGTAAACATGCGTAAGCCAAATTGCAGAAGTTGAAGGAAACTCAATGAAGTTCAAGTGTTCTATGGTCTGCTCCATCAGTCTTGCTACTTCTCATCTCTTCAATATTGATTCTTCCCAGCTAAGCCCTAAGGCCTTTTCGGTGTGCGATCAGCCGTATTGATTTTCTGAGGTGGCAGTGGCAGGACAAAAAAGAAGAGAAGTGGAGCGAGCATCGATCCCGGGGAACAGGTTCGAACCGGGACTGGCGGGAGCCTCAGATCGTGGAACTTCAGAAAGGTATTCGACAAGCAATGCAAGGCAGAGATGCAAGGCAATACAAGGCACGCTGTCACCAGATGCGAAACGCGAACGCATCATTCTTTGCGACAGTTTGGCTGCATACTCTTTCGCGGTTGGTTGTCATTGAATCTGAACTGAGAGTAGTGGCTAGAGTGTAGTTTCAACGGTGGTTTCGTTGAAGTTTGTTTTTTCCCTTTGGTGCGGAGCCAGGTCAAGTTCAACAGGGTTCCTTAAGAAGGTCCCAGAGAAGGTCTGGAAGGCTTTGGTGCAGAGCCGGAGAAGGCTTTGGTCCAAAGCCAGGTCGAGAAGGTTCCGGAGAAGGTTTGGGAGAAGGTTCCGGAGAAGGTGTGGCAGGCTTTAGTGCAGAGCCAGGTCAGGCTCAACCCGGAGAAGGTTCCCGAGATGGTCAGGTTCAAACGGGTTTCGGAGAAGGTTCCGAGAAGGTTCCGAGAAAGTCCGGGAAGCTTGCAGAGAAGGTTCCGGAGAAGTTCGTTTTTCCTCTGTTTGTTTTCGTGCATGTGCACGCTTCAGAAAGATCTGTAAAAATAAACGTTGCGGCTGTTGGCGGTACCACCGAAGCTTAGTTTTGGTTGTTTTCATTTGCCAGGAAAGTTTCTTGAAAACGTCAGTCTGCTCCAGTCTTTGCTCCTCCACGCCTTTTTTGGCGCCTTCTCTGCGCCTCTGCGCCTGCGCTGCACCGCTGTGATACAACAAGCAGCTTCTGCAGGGCTCACCGGACCCGAACACCATCGTAAGCTCGCAGACTTTCTTGGGTTTGCCAGACATGAGCACTATGCCAGATACAATGTAAGATCAAGTGCCAGATCAAATGTCGAAACATTAAAAGATAAGGGGGGAATGGCAACATCCAGATGGTTGATCCTGCACTGCTGCAGTTCATCACCTTTCACACTGGGGCGCTTTCTTCATCACAATGTCGTCAGAGCTGTTAACAAGCATGGGCTGCTTAATCACCTTGGGAGGCGTAAACACGCGTAAACCAAATTGTAGAAATTGAAGGAATTTCAATGAAGTTCAAGTGTTCTATGTTCTGCTCCATCAGTCTTGCTACTTCTCATCTCTTCAATATTGATTCTTCCCAGCTAAGCCCTAAGGCCTTTTCGGTGTGCGATCAGCCGTATTGATTTTCTGAGGTGGCAGTGGCAGGACAAAAAAGAAGAGAAGTGGAGCGAGCATCGATCCCGGGGAACAGGTTCGAACCGGGACTGGCGGGAGCCTCAGATCGTGGAACTTCAGAAAGGTATTCGACAAGCAATGCAAGGCAGAGATGCAAGGCAATACAAGGCACGCTGTCACCAGATGCGAAACGCGAACGCATCATTCTTTGCGACAGTGTTGTGGCTGGAATTGCTGTGGCCTTAAGAAGTGTCAAGATTGTCGATGTTTTTGCAAAAAAATGAAAGCTTTTGGGACTAAAAACGCAATGAGTACCGATGTTTTTGGCACCTCGGAAGCCAACCACGTTTCAAAATGATAGCGCAGAACCAGGCCGCTGGAATTTGTAACTTTACGCGTCACTGCATGATTGTTTGTGTATGATCGTATGATTGTATGACAATGTGCGCATCATGTTATGACCAAAAGACCATATACAGGTAGTAACCATGGTCATCCAACATGATTGCGTCTGTTTCAGTTCATGTTGGTTGCTTGCCGAAGATCCATAAGCAATTCTGTTACATGCAGGAATGAGCACACCAACACCTAAGTAGACACCGTGAGCACTTGCACATTGTATGTGGACAATGCTTCCCAGGGCCCTGATTCATTTTCTAGCGTGCAGCATGATTGCATGGTTGTATATGTATGATTGTATGTATATGACGTGTATGATTGTATGACAATGTGCGTATGATGTTTTCATGACGATCACAAGACCATGTACAGTTAATAAGAACGTGCAATCCACAAACATTGCGTACATGTTGGTTGCTTGCCGTAGATATTCCGTAGATTTATAAACAATTCTGTCAACAGCAGGACCGAATTATGAACACAAAAGTGCGCAACGCGAACACTTGCACATTTTGTGTTTGTACCACTTTTCATGGGAATGCGTCACATACACTCACATACCTGTGTGCAACATCATTACATGGTTTATGTGCATGCTTGTATGTGTGTGATTGTGTGATTCTACGTGTACGATTGTACGGCAATGTGCGCATGATGTCATGATGAGGAACACAAGATCATATACAGTTAGTAACAGAGTGTCATCCAACATGATGGCGTTTGTATCAATTCATGCTGGTTGAGATACCAGGTGAGGTTCCGGAGGGTTCCGATGCAGATACCTGTCGCGGTTCTGGAGGGTTCCGGTGCAGATGCCTGTTCAGCTTCTGGAAGGTTCCTGTGCAGATACATGTTGAGGTTCCTGGCCCTGGTTCCTTTACCATTGTCCAGCACCATTGCATGCTTGTATGTGTTTGATTGTATCTGTATGTATGATTGTATGTGTAGTACGGCAATGTGCCCATGATGTCATCGTGAAAATCACATGACTACTAGAGTTAGTAACAGCGTACAATCCAACATGACTGCGCATGTATGAATTCACTTGTTTGATGACAGCGTTGCAAGGTCTCATGCTGTGAAGAAAAGAAACAAAGCGTAAGCAGACACTTTCAAGCTGTTGGGGGTAGCACCTGAGTTTATATTTTTTACCTTTTGGCGTGTAAAGGTTTTCATGTACCAATGGGAAGATAGCCCGCTGAAGATTTATTGCATGTCGCAATGAACACAATCGAGCACGTGGTGTTGTTACTTACGGCACCTTCTGGCTTTTTAGTTGCATCATGTTGCCTTTGTCTTGGCTTGTGAAACTTCTTTACATGTACATGCATGTAAAAAAAACAAGTGTTTTAAAGTCTATATGTTCATGCCTGTTGTCGCATTCTAAGAAGAGCAGCTGTTTTTGGTCATCATCATACTCACCGGGTGGTTTCGTGCCTATATCGAAGCATTTTTTGCTTTTTGTTGTATTGGCTCAAATATCCAAAACAATGGAAGTTTGTAGAAAATGTCGATGTAACACTCATGTTCAGGCTGCTGCCCTTTTGGCAGTGACATTGTTTGGGACAAGTGGTCCCAAATGAGCTTGGGTGATCAATGTTCTGAGGTGGTCATCATCGAATTCATGGGCAGAACAGCGCGAATCTTGCCCTAAAAATACAAATTCGTTCGAGCCTCAGGTTGCTGAACAAGTCCGTCCCGGGGATCGGCCGATACCCAATTTACCGAACAGTTTTTTTGGGATTAAACGTTCTTCCCATGGTGAGTTTTACACCGGTTTCTTTTTCAGACTGCTTTGCACACTTTCACAGCTGGTTGTCCGTGCAATGCCTAGGGCATATCCGGATCCCAATGATCCGAAGTATCGCATTGATTGGGTTGCTCATTTCAAGAAGTCTCAGTGCCTCAGCAGAAACCTGGCACATTTGCACCATGGTGGAACGCATGTCCCGCGATGATTCGGTGACTGTGATGAAATCACACCTTGGGTATAGTTGTACCAGTAGTACCGCACAAGGCGGTGGCGGAAGTTTCAAAGATAGAAAACAATAGAAGAGGTGAATTGTTGTGATGCATGGATGGCAGAGCGCCGTAGCAGCTGTAAAAGCTGTAGTAGATGTAGTAGATGTAGTAGCTGTGGTAGCTGTAGAAGCTGTAGTATAGTTGTAGTAGTCCTCGTCGTTGTCGTCGTCGTTGTCGTCGTCGTCGTCGTCGTCATCATCATCGTCATCGTCGTCCTCGTCGTAGTTGATGTTGTTGTTGTTGTTGTCCTAGTCGTAGTGGTAGTCGTAGTCCTAGTTGTAGTCGTAGTCGTACTGGTAGTCGTAGTAGTAGTCCTCGTCGTCGTGGCCGTCGCCGCCGTCGCCGTCGCCGTCGCCGTTGTCGTCGACGTCGTCGTCGTCGCCGTCGCCATCGTAGTTGCAGTCGTAGTTGTATAGTAGTCGTCGTAGTAGTCGTCGTTGTCGAAGCACCCACAGCATCCTACGAGGGTATGGCCCGGAGGTTCATACCCGAGAGCGGAGTTAGCAACCCATTGTTTCCATCATCCCAGTGCCAGGGGATTTCCTTGTCATAACAACAGTGACGTCTTATGCATACTTCTATTAGGTGTTTCATTCAGGGTTTACATACGTTATAAAATCCGGACTCGCCAAAAAAGTGAAAAAGATTGAAAAAGTGGAAGTGGCCGAAATGGGTGAAGTCCGCAGAGGGTTCACTTTTCTGACGGATTTTCCCACAAATTCGTCTTAGACCACGGTAACCCACAGATGTACCAGGGTCATAAAACATCGCGCCTGCGCAGAGAAATCAGTCTCCCACTGACGTTCATACGACCATTCCAGGACAACCCTCAGTCCTGCCCGTACAAGTAGAAGTAGAAGTAGTAGAAGTAGAATGAGAAGTAGTAGAAGAAGAAGTAGTAGTAGTGGTGGTGGTGGTAGTAGTAGCCGCAGTAGTAGTAGTAGTAGTAGTCGTGGTGGTGGTGGTGGTGGTAGTAGTAGTAGTAGTAGTATTGGAGTAGTAGTAGTAGTAGTAGTAGGTAGTGGTAGGTAGTGGTGGTGGTAGTAGTAGTGATAGTAGTAGTAGTAGTAGTCGTGGTGGTGGTGGTGGTGGTGGTAGTAGTAGTAGTATTGGAGTAGTAGTAGTAGGTAGTGGTAGGTAGTGGTAGTGGTAGTGGTAGTGGTAGTGGTAGTAGTAGTAGTAGTCGTAGTAGTAGTCGTAGTAAGGTATTGTACAGTTTGGTATGGTAGTGGTAGTGGTCGTCTTATATTAGTAGTCGTCGTAGTAGTAGCGTAGTTAGTAGAATCGTCGTAGTAGTGATAGTAGCCCGTAGTAGATAATAGCAGCCGTAGCTTAGTGTTAGTAGTAAGTAGTACTAAAACTAGTGAAAAGTAGCAGGAGAAAGAGGAGGGATAGTAGTAGTAGTAGTCGTCGTATCGAGTCTATACCGTCGTAGTCGTCCGTACAAAAAACTACTAAAGTAGTCACATCAGTAGTCGTAGGAGTATAGTAGTAGATGGTTGTGGTGGGTGGTAGGTGGTGGTGGAAGTGGTGGGTGGGGGCGAGGTGGTGGTGGTGGAGTAGTAGTAGTAGTTCGCCAAGTGCCACCTTGCCACTCAGAATGTTGTGACGTCATGCCATAAATGGCACGCCTGCCACGCAGAATGCACGTCGATGTCGCCAGTAATTTGTGATGTGATGCCGTAAATGCCACGCTTGCCACGCAGCATGTGCGTCAATGTCGCAAGAAATGCCAACGCCTGTGGCAACCAAAACCAAGCACGCCGCGACCAAGTACCGACCACTCAAGCCGACCAAGTCCAAAGATTCCGTAAGAAAAAGGCCACGCCTGCGACGCAGAATGCACGTCGATGTCGCCCAGTGCCACGCCTTCCACGCAAAGTGACGGTCAATGTCGCCAAGCTCACGCCTGCCACGCAAACAGCTGCCGCGACCAAAGTACCCAAGCGCGCCGCCAGTGCCAGTCCAGTGCCATAAGTGCCACGCCTGCCACGCAAAATGAAGGTCGATGTCACCAAGTGCCACGCCTGCCACCAGAATGCACATCGATGTGGCCAAGTGCCAGGCCTGCCACAGTCGATGTCACCAAGTGCCACACCTGGCATGCAAACAGCCGCGGCGACCAAAGTACCCAAGCGCGCCGCCACTCCCAGTCCAGTGACAGAAGTGCCACGCCTGCCGGTACGTAAGAAATGCAGCGTAAAGAACGTGTCAATGCCAGGTGGGCCACGCCTTCCACGCAAAGTGACGGTTCTTGTCGCAAAGGTGGCAACGCCTAGCCGACGCAAATCAGCCAGCCTCGACCAACGTAACCAAAAAAAAAAACAGCCGCGCCACCAGTCCCCCGTTGCCTAAGCAGGCCCGCCTGCTACGCAGAATGGCACGTCGGTGTCGCGCATTGCCAACGAACCTATCCACTCAAAGTGACGGTGATGTCGCCAACTCACGCCGGGTTCCGAAACGCCAACAGCTGCCGCCGCAAAGTACAACCCACCGCGCCGCCAAGGGCCAAGTCAGTGCCATGAAGTGCCAGAGATGGCCAACGCCTGCCACGCAAAATGAAGGTCGATGTCACCAAGTGCCACGCCTGCCACCAGAATGCACATCGATGTGGCCAAGTGCCAGGCCTGCCACAGTCGATGTCACCAAGTGCCACACCTGGCATGCAAACAGCCGCGGCGACCAAAGTACCCAAGCGCGCCGCCACTCCCAGTCCAGTGACAGAAGTGCCACGCCTGCCACGCAGAATGCACGTAGATGTCGCCAAGTGCTACGCCTGGCCTGCAAACAGTCGCGGCGACCAAAGTACCCAAGTGCGCCACCAAAGCCAGTCCAGTGCCAGAAGTGCCACGCCTGCCACGCAAACAGCTGCGGCGCCATAAGTGCCACGCCTGACACGCGGCAAAGTGAAGGCAGATGTCGTCAAGTTGTGTGTGAGTAAGTCGGGTGTGGACAAGTTGTGTGGGAGTAAGTTGTGTGTGGACAAGTTGTGTGTGAGAAAGTTGTGTGAGCAAGTTGTGTGGGAGTAAGTTGTGTGTGGACAAGTTGTGTGTGAGAAAGTTGTGGGAGAAGTTGTGTGGTGACAAATTGTGTGTGAGTAAGTTGAGTGGTGACAAGTTGTGTGTGGACAAGTTGTGTGTGAGTAAGTTGTGCGGTGACAAGTTGCGTGTGTGAGTAAGTTGTGTGGTGACAAGTTGTGTGGTGACAAATTGTGTGTGAGTTGTTGTGCGGTGACAAGTTTGTGTGTGTGCGTTGAAAAGTTGTGACAAGTTGTGAAATTAATTGTGTGCGGATAAGTTGTGTGGTGACAGTTGTGTGTGGACAAGTTGTGTTTGAGTAAGTTGTGCGGTGACAAGTTTGTGTGTGTGAGTAAGTGGTGTGGGTAAGTGTGTGTGTTGGCACGTTTGTGTGTTGAGAAGTTGTGTGTGAGTAAGTTGTGTGCGGATAAGTTGTGTGGTGACAAGTTGTGTGTGGACAAGTTGTGTGTGAGTAAGTTGTGCGGTGACAAGTTGTGTGTGTGAGTAAGTTGTGTGTGAGCAAGTTGTGTGTGGACAAGTTGTGTGTGAGTAAGTTGTGTGGTGACAAGTTGTGTGTGGACAAGTTGTGTGTGAGAAGGTTGTGTGGTGACAAATTGTGTGTGGACAAGTTGTGTGTGAGTAAGTTGTGCGGTGACAAGTTGTGTGGACAAATTGTGTGTGAACAAGTTGTGTGGTGAGAAATTGTGGGCGGCGGGCGGGAGGCGGGAAGCGGGCGGGCAGGGCGGAAGGTCACAACCAGAAACAAGAACCCCACACAAAGATGTGGGGAATAAAAAAATGTAGTTGTAGTGTTTTCCATCGCCTCCCTTCTGAATCCTGGAAGCGGGGGCATTACAGAAGAGGCATTCACATTGGACCCCATATCCGATGAAGTCTTCCAGTGATGTTGATAAACCTTTACAGGACGTCTATGTTCGACTTCTGTTACCTTCACAAGATGTCTTCACTGCCTTGAACGAAGTTTACAATGCGAGAGACGGGAGAGTAGACTGTCGAAAAGCAAGAAAATATAGAAAAACATGGAAAATCCACATTCGTTCCCGTTGTTTCTTTGGAATTGTATGCTGATCACTGCGCGTTTTCATGGAATCACCTACTCAGGTAGCGCTGAGTGAGTACTTCCTGCGCACAGAACGCTGTCACTGCGAAATGCACAGAGCAGTCGAAAAAATCGATTTCTCGCGTGTTTTTCCTTTCTGTTTAAGCCCTGAATGTTTGAACCTGGAATGCTGCCTTGGTTGGGTGTTTCGTAATTTTGTGGCTCAAAAACCTTTCAAGACGAACTGGTTTACATCTTCGGATTTCAGAGCGGTGACCGTTCCCTCCATGCGTCCATGGTTCCTGCTCATGCTGACTAAGCTAGATTTTCTACAATTTCTTTAGCGAATGGAATTTTCATTTAAGGAACAGGATTCCAGCCAGCCAGCGGGTTTCCAAGTGGAAACACTGGAAACACTTGGAAACCCGCTGTATGGCTGGAATCCTATTTAACTGCTGCGCCATGCATCACCAAGCCCGGCCCCTGGAGGTTGTGTTGTGGAGTGGTGCCAGAGTTTGAACTGAAAGATACATTGGTTGCAAGTGCACTGTTGTGACTGTTGTGCATTTCCTGCTTCCCCAGGTCAGGAAGTCTTGCAAAAGCAAGGCATGGTTGGTGGAAGCCTCCAAATTGGCCTCTTGTGCCTTGTGAAACTTCACAGATTTTGAATGCCAGTGATGCCAGTGATGCCAGTGATGCCAGTGATGCCAGTGATGCCAGTGATGTCACTTTCCAATCTGAGCCCCGGGTGTTTTCCCACACGTTTGTCATTCGCCTTGACCGGCATTGCATCGGCAGTTGGGACTCAGGGTGGCAAAGGCTTGGACCTTAAGGGGGCTAAGGCTGGAACTGCAAAGCTGCAACTGGCTGCAACTGTCTGCAACTGGCTGCAACCATCAAAACGCCGGAACCAGTTTTCATCAGTTTTCTGTATTTTTCTTTTGCTTGTCGACTTGTTGGTGTCGGATCTCGGGCCTCGGGCATGGCGGGAAATTGGTCAATGGCAGAGCACTTGAAATTCGAAGGTTTTCAGTCTGCCGGCAGGGCCAGCAGAGTCCAGTAAACCCGGACAGGCTTTGCGGAACCTCCATGTGCAATCTGCACAAGCGGAGAGGCGAAAAGACTGGGCAACTTGAAGTTGTTGATTTCATCACAGTTGGTGCAAAGTACCGAACTTGTTCAGTTCTTCAACCGTGACAGAAATGAACCGTTCTCAACCGTTGATCAGTTTGGTGTAGAGACTGGGTCCACCTTGGGAGGCATGCGCTTGAGTTGGCCTTGCTTCGAAAAGAGCTGGAGATTTGCCGCAGTGAGGCGGCTGCCCAGATCCAGGCGCCATGTTACCGTGTCCGACTTGTGACCCTGTTGCCAACTCCGTTTGGCTCAGGCACTCCGTGAAGAGCTCCGGAGTATGGGACTGGTGAAATTGGAGGCGCGAAACAGAGTTGAGCAAAAGAAATTGTGAAATTCCTTGTTCCTTGGAACCCCAGAAAAAAAGGCAAGATGCCAGAAACACACTGCTTTCACGGCAGCTGTGGCGACAAGCATCATACCAAGTTTGGGCCAGACCCTCTTCTGTCAGGCTTCTTCGTTGAATTCTGCAAAAATCCATCGGTCTCGCAATCTTAGGGAGCAGAAAGACATGATTCCCAAACAGACATGTTTACTGTTTACCTGAGTCAAAGACATCTTTTTGCCACTCTTGATCTGCCATGGCCGTTGACAAAACAAGACTGCAAAAATGATTCTGCTCTCAGGCAAACTCAAACATTGTCAAACGAACTTTGGATGTTCATTCTTGAAAGGAGCCAGCTCTGGCCAGTGAGATGGCAGCTCAGGACAGACAGTGGCTTTTGCATTTCACAGCACTACTCTGATTTCAACTTTGCTTAGCACTGGTTTGGAGATAGATGGATGCTAACGATGGCAACTTGCCTTTCATGAGGTCTGCTTGAACGTTTCATTTGCAGGTTCGGGGGGCTGAACACAAAAAGTGGATCGGGGCCCATTTGGCTTCAAAGCTTGAAACAGGAGTCAGCATATATGTCTGCTTGATTCTGCTTGTCTGTGGTTCAGAGTTGATGGCTTCTTGATTGAGCTTGCCAAACTTTCAACAGATTCACTGTCACTGCGTTTGAAACTTAATCGGAACGAATGGGTGCTGGTCTAAGGATCCAACGACCAATTCAGCTTCAGATCCAGGACGCGCTGTGGTTTGGTCTGGCACTTTCGGGTTTTAGTAGAAAGACATGATTCCCAAAGAAAGATGTTTACGGAACCCCTTCACATGTCTCTGACTTTGCTGATTTGTTATGGAAGACTGGGTTTGCTCAAAGGAGATATCGCGCATTGTCAAACGAGCTTTGCTTTCCATTCTTGAAATGAGCCACCTCCATCAAACGAACTTTGGATGTTCATTCTTGAAAGGAGCCAGCTCTAGCCAGAGAGATGGCAGCTGAGGACAGACAGTGGCTTTTGCATTTCACAGCACTACTCTGATTTCAACTTTGCTTAGCACTGGTTTGGAGATAGATGGATGCTAACGATGGCAACTTGCCTTTCATGAGGTCTGCTTGAACGTTTCATTTGCAGGTTCGGGGGGCTGAACACGAAAAGTGGATCGGGGCCCATTTGGCTTCAAAGCTTGAAACAGGAGTCAGCATATATGTCTGCTTGATTCTGCTTGTCTGTGGTTCAGAGTTGATGGCTTCTTGATTGAGCTTGCCAAACTTTCAACAGATTCACTGCGTTTGAAACTTAATCGGAACGGATGGGTGCTGGTCTAAGGAGCCAACGACCAATTCAGCTTCAGATCCAGGAAGCGCCGTGGTTTGGTCTTGCACTTTCGGGTTTTAGTAGAAAGACATGATTCCCAAAGAAAGATGTTTACGGAACCCCTTCACATGTCTCTGACTTTGCTGATTTGTTATGGAAGACTGGGTTTGCTCAAAGGAGATATCATATCGCGCATTGTCAAACGAGCTTTGCCTTCCATTCTTGAAATGAGCCACCTCCATCAAACGAACTTTGGATGTTCATTCTTGAAAGGAGCCAGCTCTAGCCAGAGAGATGGCAGCTGAGGACAGACAGTGGCTTTTGCATTTCACAGCAATACTCTGATTTCAACTTTGCTTAACACTGATTTGGAGAAAAATGGATGGTGATGATGGCAACTTTTCTTTCATGAGGTCTGCTTGAACGTTTCATTTGCAGGTTCGGGGGTCTGAAGAGAAACATTTTAATTTGAAGCCATCTGTAGGAACATGGTGGGCATCTTAGAGTTTTATCCCATTTGGAATTATTTTCCTCAGGGCTCAGTTGACTGCAAACCTTATTTTAGCGGATCCATTCACATATCTATGCCACTGTTGAATTGTCATGGCCATTGGCCAATCGGTGCAAGCTGGAAGACTGGCTTTGTTTGGAGATCTCAAATCTTCGAAGCCTCCTGTGGCTATTCCCATGAGGAGAGACCTCTTTGTGAACCATGGCAGCTCACCTTTCACAAGGTTTGTTTGCACATATTGGCTGTGATGGTCGCGGGACCACTCCTTCTGGGAGGGATTTGATGGAATTTGGTGACCGATCGGCTCGTGCAATTCAACACGCAAACACAGAGACGCACTCGATGCGGCATGAAGCTGATGATGGAGCTGGCGTGGCCAGGACGACAACGAGGAAAGGTACTTTTCATCCTTGTCGTCTTGGCCAGTGATGGGGAAGTGAAGCCAGAGAAGCAGAAAGAGGATATCACAGGGGTATGTAGGAAATGAGGTCTTCAGCCCAGAATAGCTCCGGTGTGCACGGGTGCAGGCGCTGGGTCGGGTTCAACAGGGTTCCGGAGAAGGTTCCGGAGAAGGTTCCAGGAAGCCTTGGGTGCAAAGCCAAGTCAAGTTCAACGGTTCCGAAGAAGGTTGCAGAAGCCAAGCCAGGTCAGGTTCATTTAACTCCCGGAATTTCTAGCGGAGGTGTTTCCAGCGCTTGGCTTCGCAGCGCGTTTCAGAAAGATTTATAAAAATAGAATGCCGCGGCTGTTGGGGATATCACTCAAACTATTTTTTACTGAAGACGAACGCGAGTGTTCTTACACTTACACGGTCATGTTGACATGTTGCAACTGCCACAAACAAGGAAAAGGAGGGTCATTTTCTTTGACCCTCCGCATCGAAGACATAAGCAAAACCTTCTTGGATCAAACTTACAGTCATCCTGATTTCCTGAGTTCGGAATGATCATGGAATGATCTGGTTCCCTGAAGTCAGCATGTTTCAGTACGATGATGAAATGCGCTGCTCCTGTAGCTACAGTGAATTGGTCACGTGTGTCCGGGATCCCGGTAAACTCTTACAAATTACGTGGGGGTGCGATTCCAGCGAGAAGTGGATACATACCCATTGGAGTTACCCAACTTCATACTGATTATGACCTCTATTACATCCTATCACCTTGGCTACACCAATGAGTAAGCCCAACTGCACGCCCACATATGTACCCAATTGATCCTAATTAGATATTTGAATGGTTCTGATGCCAGCTTCGCCACTCCAGGAGGAACGGTGGCATGATGATGGGTGGATCCCATACAGCACGATGTTGCGAGAAACGGTGGTGTCTTGTCTCGGGGGGCCTAAAAACAGGCTGTCTCCAAAATTGCAGGATTTATCATCCTGAACCATTGGACTTGGTGCCCAATTGAAAGCTATTTTAAAACCTACCACCCTTGGGTGGCTCAAAATTAAGGTAGCATAGCAATGCCGTCAATGGAGCTACAACATGAGTCATTTCTCGTCAAACGTACCGATTTACGATAAGAACCTCATTCTTATCATTTTCCCTTTTTGTCTGGGAAAAGCAGAGACCAAGATTTGTACGGTGAACACCTGTCAGCAGACTCGCCGGTGTTCATTCGAGGTGGTGTCATCCGTGTCCGGCAAATTTGGTGACCCTTACAGCACACAAGTTCCTTCATCTTCCGTTTTCGAAGAAAGTCTCGCAGGAACCTTTTACTAGGGCGCCGTGCTCGTTTTTTGAGCTATGTCCATTTTTCGTGGCAGGCGTGGCATTTCGGGACATTTTGAAGTCTGAAACGTTGTCTTCCGTGACAGGTGCAGGACATCGGACACGTTTTCATTCGTGTGGCAGGCATGGTGCTTTCTGCATGTTGCTAAAACGTTGCGTGGGTAAAGATGAGAGGTGCTTTTGAAGGCCATGTTTCATGGCAGGCGCAATACTTGGTGAACTTGGACGACATTGTGAAAGGATCGAAATCGCATTTTGTGAAACTGTCGTCGAATATGATGATTCCGTGTGGCAAGCGCAGCACTCCTTGCGTTCATTTTTCGTGGCAGGCGCAGTACTTTGTAGACCCCGACAAAAAATGGCTGAGACCCAGGTAAAACGTCGTTTTTGACTTTTTCAATGTTATGTTTTTGTTGTGCGCGCAGTGTCTTGTAAAGATCATAACATGTGCTCGCGCAACCCTCTTGTCACTTTGTGCGCGTCGGATCGCTCTCGTTGTGGCACGGTTTTGACATGGCTCGCAGCCTGCTCGTCACTTTGGGCCTGTCAGATGGATCTCCTTGTGTCGCGGTGCTCATTTTGAAATCGCTCGCGCAACTCCTCGTCACTTTGGGAAATAACCTCACAGGTGGGGATCGGGAAAGCTGGGGATTGCTAGGTGATAGCCCTAAGGGGAGCAGATGTGAAAGGGAAGGACGGACTATGGCATTGCTGGAGAGATGTTGGTTGCCATTTGTGTTTGTATATTATGTCTCTGTTTTGATGTGTATTGTGAATTGTTTGCGCATGGTCCATGTCAAAATGTTCAAGGGACAGACCTCCAAGCCATGCCCAGGCGAGAGGGTCGAGGTCGCCAGCTTGAGGAAATCGCTTCCGCAGTACTGTTTTATTTTGTGCGTAACCTGCACCGTGCGCCTCGCGCAGCCCTCGCACAGCAGACGGTGCAGGTTACGCACATAATCAAACAGTACTGCGGAAGCGATTTCCTCAAGCTGGCGAGCGGAGGGTATGTCTTCACGAAGAGCCGTGGCTTGGATCGAACGTAGGTTGGAGATATCTGGCGAGATATTGGGGACCTCAAAGCCGCAGATTCTTGTTGCTTTTGTTTTCAGCAACCCAATCTCATTTCAGATATTTGGCAATTTCTGAAGCTCGATACGTGCTGGTAGATGTTGCTCGTTGCCAGGTGTTTATATAGCTACGTATATTATAGCTAATATAGCTATATCTTGTGAGTGATCGGACAGACAGGTATATATAGGGCAAATATTGACAGGTACGAAGTTCAAACACACGGAGACCACAGAATTCAGCCCTGTCATCACATGTGCCGAAGGAATAGGGAAAAGCCGAACGTCGTAAAAGATTTGCAGAACCCTCCGTATGGAGTGAAGTGTTCCAGATCATCGATGTTCCAGCACTTTGTCCATGACAGAATTTGAGAGGCTCCGGGATCCGTCTCTTCGAGAGAGTTGAAGAATCCAAGCTGCAGGTGGACTCTCTTGGATCCTTTTAGGTTTTCTTGGGGATGGCTCAAATCTCAAGCTTTTACATACAGATAGTCAGATAAACTATTTTGATGGATACTATAGATCGATACACCCTAAATTGAAGTGTTTGATTTGATACAATGGGTCACCGTGTGGTCTTGGTCAAGTCAAAGTGCCAAAATCCGAGCCCAAAGCATGTTAAATTCGCTCAACAAATCGCCCCAGGAGTCAGCGGAGTCAACGGCACGATACCACAATTGGCACAACCAAAGCGGCACTTGGAAGGGGCGTCAGTTTCTTGATTGCAGATGTGATAAAAAAACAGGTGATGAATGATGAATCCAATACTGTATTGGAATACGTTGGAATGATCCGCAGGTAAAACCAGGAGCCAGGTAGTATGACCCCCTACAATATCAGCAGGCTCTTAATGCGATAGCTCACATCAACCTGGGACATCCAACGATCGGAGCAGGGAGCATTGAATCATCGACTGGATTGAAATGATTTCCAGGTCTCTTGGAAAGGTATGATGTGCTGCCACGAAAAAGTGTGAGGGGAGCATGGCACCATCCAGATGTTTGACCCTGCACTGCTGCAGTTCATCATTTGAAACATGGGCCACTTGGCAATCACCTTAGGAGGCGTAAACATGCGTAAACCAAATTGTAGAAATTGAAGGAAGTTCAATGAAGTTCAAGTGTTCTATATGTTCTGCTAGCCCTAAGGCCTTTTCGGTGTGCGATCAGCCGTATTGATTTTCTGAGGTGGCAGTGGCAGGACAAAAAAGAAGAGAAGTGGAGCGAGCATCGATCCCGGGGAACAGGTTCGAACCGGGACTGGCGGGAGCCTCACATCGTGGAACTTCAGAAAGGTATTCGACAAGCAATGCAAGGCAGAGATGCAAGGCAATACAAGGCACGCTGTCACCAGATGCGAAACGCGAACGCATGATTCTTTGCGACAGTTTGGCTGCATACTCTTTCACGGTTGGTTGTCATTGAATCTGAACTGAGAGTAGTGGCTAGAGTGTAGTTTCAACGGTGGTTTCGTTGAAGTTTGTTTTTTTCCCAACCGTGTAAGCTAATGGGGTCTTCACCCCAGAAAAGCTCCGGTGTGCACTGGTGCAGGCGCCGGGTCAGGTTCAACGAGGCTCCGAAGTTTCCGGAGAAGGTCTGGGAGGCCTCCGGTGCAGAGCCCGGTCAGGTTCAGGGTTCCGGAGAAGGTTCCAGGAAGCCTTGCATGGTGCAAAGCCAAGTCAGGTTCAACAGGGTTCCGGAGAAAGTTCCCGGAGAAGGTTCCGGAGAAGGTCGGGGAGGCTTTGGCGCAGAGCCAGGTCAGGTTCAACAGGGTTCCGTAGAAGGTTCGGGGAAGCTTGGTGCGGAGCCAGGTCAGGTTCAACAGGGTTTCTTAAGAAGGTCCCAGAGAAGGTCTGGAAGGCTTTGGTGCAGAGCCGGAGAAGGTCTAGGAGGCTTTGGTCCAAAGCCAGGTCGAGAAGGTTCCGGAGAAGGTTCCGGAGAAGGTTCCGGAGAAGGTTCCGGAGAAGGTGTGGCAGGCTTTAGTGCAGAGCCAGGTCAGGCTCAACCCGGAGAAGGTTCCCGAGAAGGTTCCATTGGTGCAGAGCCAGGTCAGGTTCAACCGGGCTTCGGAGAAAGTTCCGAGAAGGTTCCGGAAAAGTCCGGGAAGCTTCAGTGCAGAGCCAGGTTTGGTTCAACAGGGTTCCGGAGAAGGTTCCGGAGAAGCTCTGGGAGGCTTTGGTGCAAAGCCAGGTGAGGTTCAACAGGGTTCCGAAGAAGGTTCCGGAGAAGGTCAGGGAGGCTTTGGGGCAGAGCCAGGTCAGGTTCAACAGAGTTCCGGAGAGAGTTCCGGAGAAGGTTCCGGAGAAGGTTTGGGAGTCTGAGAGGCTTTGGTGCAAAGCCAGGTCAGGTTCAACAGGGTTCCGAAGAAGGTTCTGGAGAAGGTTCCAGAAGGCTTTGGTGCAGAGCCAGGTCAGGTTCAACAGGGTTCCGGAGAAGGTTCCGGAGAAGGTTCCAGGAAGCTTTGGTGCAAAGCCAAGTCAAGTTCAACGGATTCCGGAGAAGGTTGCAGAGAAGGTTTCGGAGAAGGTTCCGGAGAAGGTTGCAGGGAAGGTTCCGGAGAAGTTCGTTTTTCCTCTTATTGTTTTCGTGCATGTGCACGCTTCAGAAAAATCTGTAAAAACAAACGTTGCGGCTGTTGGCGGTACCACCGAAGCTTATTTTTGGTTGTTTTTCATTTGCCAGGAAAGTTTCTTGAAAATGTCAGTCTGCTCCAGTCTTTGCTCCTCCACGCCTTTTTTGGCGCCTTCTCTGCGCCTCTGCGCCTGCGCTGCACTGCTGTGATACAACAAGCAGCTTCTGCAGGGCTCACCGGACCCGTACACCATCGTAAGCTCGCAGACTCTCTTGGGCTTGCCAGACATGAGCACTATGCCAGATACAATGTAAGATCAAGTGCCAGATCAAATGTCGAAACATTAAAAGATAAGGGGGGCATGGCAACATCCAGATGGTTGATCCTGCACTGCTGCAGTTCATCACCTTTCACACTGGGGCGCTTTCTTCACAATGTCGTCAGAGCTGTTAACAAGCATGGGCTGCTTAATCACCTTAGGAGGCGTAAACATGCGTAAACCAAATTGCAGAAATTGAAGGAAATTCAATGAAGTTCAAGTGTTCTATGTTCTGCTCCATCAGTCTTGCTACTTCTCATCTCTTCAATATTGATTCTTCCCAGCTAAGCCCTAAGGCCCTAAGGCCTTTTCGATGTGCGATCAGCCATATTGATTTTCTGAGGTGGCAGTGGCAGGACAAAAAAGAAGAGAAGTGGAGCGAGCATCGATCCCGGGCAACAGGTTCGAACCGGGACTGGCGGGAGCCTCACATCGTGGAACTTCAGAAAGGTATTCGACAAGCAATGCAAGGCAGAGATGCAAGGCAATACAAGGCACGCTGTCACCAGATGCGAAACGCGAACGCATGATTCTTTGCGACAGTTTGGCTGCATACTCTTTCACGGTTGGTTGTCATTGAATCTGAACTGAGAGTAGTGGCTAGAGTGTAGTTTCAACGGTGGTTTCGTTGAAGTTTGTTTTTTTCCCAACCGTGTAAGCTAATGGGGTCTTCACCCCAGAAAAGCTCCGGTGTGCACTGGTGCAGGCGCCGGGTCAGGTTCAACGAGGCTCCGAAGTTTCCGGAGAAGGTCTGGGAGGCTTCGGTGCAGAGCCCGGTCAGGTTCAGGGTTCCGGAGAAGGTTCCAGGAAGCCTTGCATGGTGCAAAGCCAAGTCAGGTTCAACAGGGTTCCGGAGAAAGTTCCCGGAGAAGGTTCCGGAGAAGGTCGGGGAGGCTTTGGTGCAGAGCCAGGTCAGGTTCAACAGGGTTCCGTAGAACGTTCGGGGAAGCTTGGTGCGGAGCCAGGTCAAGTTCAACAGGGTTCCGTAGAAGGTTCGGGGAAGCTTGGTGCGGAGCCAGGTCAAGTTCAACAGGGTTCTTTAAGAAGGTCCCAGAGAAGGTCTGGAAGACTTTGGTGCAGAGCCGGAGAAGGTCTATAGGAGGCTTTGGTCCAAAGCCAGGTCGAGAAGGTTCCGGAGAAGGTTCGGGAGAAGGTTCGGGAGAAGGTGTGGCAGGCTTTAGTGTGCAGAGCCAGGTCAGGCTCAACCCGGAGAAGGTTCCCGAGAAGGTTCCATTGGTGCAGAGCCAGGTCAGGTTCAACCGGGTTTCGGAGAAGGTTCCGAGAAGGTTCCGAGAAGGTTCCGAGAAAGTCTGGGAAGCTTGCAGAGAAGGTTCCGGAGAAGTTCGTTTTTCCTCTGTTTGTTTTCGTGCATGTGCACGCTTCAGAAAGATCTGTACAAATAGACGTTGCGGCTGTTGGCGGTACCACCGAAGCTTATTTTTTGGTTGTTTTCATTTGCCAGGAAAGTTTCTTGAAAACGTCAGTCTGCTCCAGTCTTTGCTCCTCCACGCCTTTTTTGGCGCCTTCTCTGCGCCTCTGCGCCTGCGCTGCACCGCTGTGATGCAACAAGCAGCTTCTGCGGGGCTCACCGGACCCGAACACCATCGTAAGCTCGCAGACTCTCTTGGGCTTGCCAGACATGAGCACTATGCCAGATACAATGTAAGATCAAGTGCCAGATCAAATGTCGAAACATTAAAAGATAAGGGGGGCGTGGCAACATCCAGATGGTTGATCCTGCACTGCTGCAGTTCATCACCTTTCACACTGGGGCGCTTTCTTCACAATGTCGTCAGAGCTGTTAACAAGCATGGGCTGCTTAATCACCTTAGGAGGCGTAAACATGCGTAAACCAAATTGCAGAAATTGAAGGAAATTCAATGAAGTTCAAGTGTTCTATGTTCTGCTCCATCAGTCTTGCTACTTCTCATCTCTTCAATATTGATTCTTCCCAGCTAAGCCCTAAGGCCCTAAGGCCTTTTCGATGTGCGATCAGCCGTATTGATTTTCTGAGGTGGCAGTGGCAGGACAAAAAAGAAGAGAAGTGGAGCGAGCATCGATCCCGGGCAACAGGTTCGAACCGGGACTGGCGGAAGCCTCACATCGTGGAACTTCAGAAAGGTATTCGACAAGCAATGCAAGGTGATCAATGTTCTGAGGTGGTCATCACGGAATTCATGGGCAGAACAGCGCGAATCTTGCCCAAAAAACACAATTTCCTTCGAGCCTCAGGTTGCTGAACAAGTCCGTCTCGGGGATCGGCCGATACCCAAATACCCGAACAGTTTTTCTTGGGATTAAACGTTCTTCCCATGGTGAGTTTTACACCGGTTTCTTTTTCAGACTGCTTTGCGCACTTTCACAGCTGGTTGTCCGTGCAATGCCTAGGGCATATCCGGATCCCAATGATCCGAAGTATCGCATTGATTGGGATGCTTTTCTCGAAGAGTCTCAGTGCCTCAGCAGAAACCTGGCACATTTGCACCATGGTGGAACGCATGTCCCGCGATGATTCGGTGACTGTGATGAAATCACACCTTGGGTGTATAGTTGTACCAGTAGTACCGCACAAGGCGGTGGCGGAAGTTTCAAAGATAGAAAACAATAGAAGAGGTGAATTGTTGTGATGCATGGATGGCAGAGCGAATTCACTGATGGACCGAAAGGTGGTTGTGGTTGTGCTTTTTGAAGTGGTTGCAGTGGTCTCCTCACCCACAACTAGTTGGCTGTTGGATGTAGCATGTTGCGCAGTGTAGCTGTAGTTGAAGCTGTAGTTAAGTTGTAGTTGTAGTTGTGCTTGTAGCTGTAGTAGCCGTAGCAGCTGTAAAAGCTGTAGTAGATGTAGTAGCTGTGGTAGCTGTAGAACCTGTAGTATAGTTGTAGTAGTCCTCGTCGTCGTCATCATCATCATCGTCGTCGTCCTCGTCGTAGTTGATGTTGTTGTTGTTGTCCTAGTCGTAGTGGTAGTCGTAGTCCTAGTTGTAGTCGTAGTCGTAGTGGTAGTCGTAGTAGTAGTCCTCGTTGTCGTGGCCGTCGCCGCCGTCGCCGTCGTCGTCGTCGTCGTCGCCATAGTAGTTGCAGTCGTAGTTGTATAGTAGTCGTCGTAGTAGTCGTCGATGTCGAAGCACCCACAGCATCCTACGAGGGTATGGCCCGGAGGTTCATACCCGAGAGCGGAGTTAGCAACCCATTGGTTCCATCATCCCAGTGCCAGGGGATTTCCTTGTCATAACAACAGTGACGTCTTATGCATACTTCTATTAGGTGTTTCATTCAGGGTTTACATTCCAGGACAACCCTCAGTCCTGCCCGTAAAAGTAGAAGTAGAAGTAGTAGAAGTAGAATTAGAAGTAGTAGTAGAAGAAGGAGTAGTAGTAGTGGTGGTGATGTTTGTAGTAGTAGTCGCAGTAGTAGTAGTAGTAGTAGTAGCAGTAGTAGTAGTAGTAGCAGCAGTAGCAGCAGTAGTAGCAGTAGTAGTGGTAGTGGTAGTGGTAGTGGTAGTGGTGGTGGTGGTGGTAGTGGTAGTAGTTGTAGTTCGCCAAGTGCCACCTTGCCACTCAGAATGTCGTGACGTGATGCCATAAATGGCACGCCTGCCACGCAGAATGCACGTCGATGTCGCCAAGCTAATGGTGATGTGATGCCGTAAATGCCACACCTGCCACGCAGAATGCATGTCGATGTCGCCAGTAATTTATGATGTGATGCCGTAAATGCCACGCTTGCCACGCTTGCCACGCAGCATGCGCGTCAATGTCGCCAAGTGCCACGCCTGGCACGCAAACGGCCGCCGCGACCAAAGTGCCAAGCGCGCCACCAGTCCAGTGCCAGAAGTGCCACGCCTGCGACGCAGAATGCACGTCGATGTCGCCAAGTGCCACGCCTGCCACACAAAGTGAAAATCGATATCACCAAGTGCCACACCTGCCACGCAAAGTGATGGTTGATGTCGTCAAGTGCCACGCGTGTCACGCAAACAGCTGCGGCGACCAAAGTACCCAAGCGCGCCTCCAGAGCCAGTCCAGTGCCATAAGTGCCACGCCTGCTGCGCAGAATGCACGTCGATGTCGCCAAGTGCCACGCCTTCCACGCAAAGTGACGGTCGATGTCGCCAAGCTCACGCCTGCCACGCAAACAGCTGCCGCGACCAAGTGCCCAAGCGCGCCGCCAGTGCCAGTCCAGTGCCATATCGATGTCACCAAGTGCCACGCCTGCCACGCAGAATGCACATCGATGTGGCCAAGTGCCACGCCTGCCACAGTCGATGTCACCAAGTGCCACGCCTGGCATGCAAACAGCCGCGGCGACCAAAGTACCCAAGCGCGCCACCACTCCCAGTCCAGTGACAGAAGTGCCACGCCTGCCACGCAGAATGCACGTCGATGTCGCCAAGTGCCACGCCTGCCACGCAAAGTGACGGTCGATGTCGCCAAGTGCCACGCCTGCCACGCAAACAGCCGCGGCGACCAAAGTACCCAAGGGCGCCACCAGAGCGAGTCCAGTGCCATAAGTGCCACGCCTGCCACGCAGAATGCACGTCGATGTGGCCAAGTGCTACGCCTGGCCTCCAAACAGTCGCGGCGACCAAAGTACCCAAGTGCGCCACCAAAGCCAGTCCAGTGCCAAAAGTGCCACGCCTGCCACGCAAAGTGGAGGTCGATGTCGCCAAGTGCCACGCTTGCCACGCAAACAGCTGCAGCGCCAAAAGTGCCACGCCTGACACGCGGCAAAGTGAAGGCAGATGTCGTCAAGTTGTGTGTGAGTAAGTCGGGTGTGGACAAGTTGTGTGTGAGCAAGTTGTGTGTGGACAAGTTGTGTGTGGACAAGTTGTGTGTGTGAGCAAGTTGTGTGGTGACAAGTTGTGTGTGAGTAAGTTGTGTGTTGGCAAGTTGTGTGTGGAGAAGTTGTGTGGGAGTAAGTTGTGTGTGTGTGTGTGAGTAAGTTGTGTGGTGACAAGTTGTGTGTGGACAAGTTGTGTGTGAGAAAGTTGTGCGGTGACAAGTTGTGTGTGTGTGAGTAAGTTGTGTGGTGACAAGTTGTGTGGTGACAAATTGTGTGTGAGTAAGTTGTGTGTTGGCAAGTTGTGTGTGGAGAAGTTGTGTGTGGACAAATTGTGTGTGAGTAAGTTGTGTGTGAGCAAATTGTGTGTGGACAAGTTGTGTGTGAGTAAGTTGTGTGGTGACAAGTTGTGTGTGGACAAGTTGTGTGTGAGAAAATTGTGTGGTGACAAGTTGTGTGTGGACAAGTTGTGTGTGAGTAAGTTGTGCGGTGACAAGTTGTGTGGACAAGTTGTGTGTGAACAAGTTGTGTGGTGAGAAGTTGTGGGCGGCGGGCGGGAAGCGGGAAGCGGGCGGGCAGAGGGGAAGGTCACAACCAGAAACAAGAACCCCACACAAAGATGTGGGGAATAAAAAAAATGTAGTTGTAGTGTTTTCCATCGCCTCCCTTCTGAATCCTGGAAGCGGGGGCATTACAGAAGAGGCATTCACATTGGACCCCATATCCGATTAGTGATGTTGATAAACCTTTACAGGACGTCTATATATGTTCGACTTCTGTTACCTTTCACAAGATGTCTTCACTGCCTTGAACGAAGTTTACAATGCGAGAGACGGGAGAGTAGACTGTTGAAAAGCAAGAAAATATAGAAAATCATGGAAAATCCACATTCGTTCCCGTTGTTTCTTTGGAATTGTATGCTGATCACTGCGCGTTTTCATGGAATCACCTACTCAGGTAGCGCTGAGTGAGTACTTCCTGCGCACAGAACGCTGTCACTGCGAAATGCACAGAGCAGTCGAAAAAGTCGATTTTTCGCGTGTTTTTCCTTTCTGTTTAAGCCCTGAATGTTTGAACCTGGAATGCTGCCTTGGTTGGGTGTTTCGTAATTTTGTGGCTCAAAAACCTTTCAAGACGAACTGAAGTGGTTTACATCTTCGGATTCCAGAGCGGTGACCGTTCCCTCCATGCCTCCATGGTTCCTGCTCATGCTGACCAAACTAGATTTTCTACAATTTCTTTAGCGAATGGAATTTTCATTTAAGGAACAGGATTCCAGCCAGAAACACTGGAAACACTTGGAAACCCGCTGTATGGCTGGAATCCTATTTAACTGCTGCGCCATGCGTCACCAAGCCCGGCCCCTGGAGGTTGTGTTGAGTGGTGCCAGAGTTTGCGTGAAATGTACATTGGCTGCAAGTGCACTGTTGTGACTGTTGTGCATTTCCTGCTTCCCCAGGTCAGGAAGTCTTGCAAAAGCAAGGCATGGTTGGTGGAAGCCTCAAAATTGGCCTCTTGTGCCTTGTGAAGCTTCACAGATTTTGAATGCCAGTGATGCCAGTGATGCCAGTGATGTCACTTTCCAATCTGAGCCCCGGGTGTTTTCCCACACGTTTGTCATTCGCCTTGACCGGCATTGCATCGGCAGTTGGGACTCAGGGTGGCAAAGGCTTGGACCTTAAGGGGGCTAAGGCTGGAACTGCAAAGCTGCAACTGGCTGCAACTGGCTGCAACCATCAAAACGCCGGAACCAGTTTTCATCAGTTTTCTGTATTTTTCTTTTGCTTGTCGACTTGTTGGTGTCGGATCTCGGGCCTCGGGCATGGCGGGAAATTGGTCAATGGCAGGGCACTTGAAATTCGAAGGTTTCCAGTCTGCCGGCAGGGACAGCAGAGTCCAGTAAACTCGGACAGGCTTTGCGGAACCAATCTGCACAAGCGGAGAGGCGAAAAGACTGGGCAACTTGAAGTTGTTGATTTCATCACAGTTGGTGCAAAGTACCGAACTTGTTCAGTTCTTCAACCGTGACAGAAATGAACCGTTTTCAACCGTTGATGAGTTTGGTGTAGAGACTGGGTCCACCTTGGGAGGCATGCGCTTGAGTTGGCCTTGCTTCGAAAAGAGTTGGAGATTTGCCGCAGTGAGGCAGCTGCCCAGATCCAGGCGCCATGTTACCGTGTCCGACTTGTGACCCTGTTGCCAACTCCGTTTGGCTCAGGCACTCCGTGAAGAGCTCCGGAGTATGGGACTGGTGAAATTGGAGGCGCGAAACAGAGTTGAGCAAAAGAAATTGCGAAATTCCGTGTTCCTTGGAACCTCAGAACTAGACGACGGATGGCCCGAGAGCGTAGAGGAGCAGGGTCTTCTCTTGTTAGTATGGAGACACAATTTTAGAAACAATATATGAAAGATGTGTTATAGGCAGTCGAGAAGAGGAGTATCAAGACAAAATAGTGAGAAGTGCAAGACAATAGTTTGCATCGCAAACACTTTTACACACAGACGCTTTTACACAAAAGCTTTTAGACACAGAAGCTTTTACACACAGAAGCTTTTACACAGACGCTTTTACACACAAAGCTTTTACCCACAGAAGCTTTTACATACAGAAGCTTTTACATACAGAAGCTTTTACACACAGACGCTTTTACACAGACACTTTTACACACAGACACGTTTACACACAGACACTTTTACACACAAACCCTTTTACACACAGACACTTTTACACACAAAAGCTTTTACACACAGACACTTCTACACAGATGCACTTCTACACACAAACACTTTTACACACAAACATCTTCACACAGAAACACTCTTACACACAAACCCTTTTACACAGAGACACTTTTACACACAAAAGCTTTTACACACAAACACTTTTACACAGATGCACTTGTACACACAAACACTTTTACACACAAACATCATTCCACCGAAACACTCCGACACACAAACACGTTTACACACAAACACTTTTACACACAGAAGCTTTTACACACAAACACGTTTAAACAGATGCAATTTTACATACAATCACTTTTACACACAAACATCTTTACACAGAAACACTCGTACACACAAACCCGTTTACACACAAAGATTTTTACACACAGAAGGTTTTACACACAACACTTTTACACAGATGCACTTGTACACACACTTTTACACACAAACATCTTTACACAGAAACGCTCGTACACACAAACCCCTTTTCCTGCGAAAGGATTACTACAGCACACGATAAATCGCAATTGTACCTCAGTTTTTGCCGATCGACCTTCATTTCGTGCGAAAGGGTTGCTCCAGCACACGAAAAATCGCAATTTTACCTCAGTTTTTGCCAATCGACCTTCATTTCGTGCGAAAGGGTTGCTCCAGCACACGAAAAATCGCAATTTTACTTCAGTTTTTGCTGATCGACCCTCATTTCGTGCGAAAGGGTTGCTCCAGGACACGAAAAATCGCAATTTTACTTCAGTTTTTGCTGATCGACCCTCATTTCGTGTGAAAGGGTTGCTCCAGGACAAGTCAAATCGCAATTTTTCCTCAGTTTTTGCCGATCGACCCTCATTTCGTGCGAAAGGGTTGCTCCGGCACAAGTAGAATCGCAATTTTACCGCAGTTTTTGACGATCGACCATCATTTCGTGCGAAAGGGTTGCTCCGGGGCAAGTAAAATCGCAATTTTTCCTCAGTTTTTGACGATCGACCATCATTTCGTGCGAAAGGGTTGCTCCGGGGCAAGTCAAATCGCAATTTTTCCTCAGTTTTTGACGATCGATCCTCATTTCGTGCGAAAGGGTTGACGTTTCCTGACTCCCCGCCGGTACCACCCCCGGCCTAAAGAGAGAAAGATAGAGAAGGCGAGAGGGAGAAAAGGGAGAGAGAAAGGAGAGAAGATGTGAAGATGAGAAGATGTGAAGAGGAGCAGATGTGAAGATGAGCAGATGTGAAGATGAGCAGATGTGAAGATGAGAAGGTGTGAGAGAAGGTGTGAAGATGAGATGTGAAGAAGAGCAGATGTGAAGATGAGCAGATGTGAAGATGAGCAGATGTGAAGATGAGCAGATGTGAAGATGAGAAGGTGTGAAGATGAGAAGGTGTGAAGATGAGAAGATGTGAAGATGAGCAGGTGTAAAGATGAGCAGATGTGAAGATGAGCAGATGTGAAGATGAGCAGATGTGAAGATGAGCAGATGTGAAGATGAGAAGGTGTGAAGATGAGAAGATGTGAAGATGAGCAGGTGTAAAGATGAGCAGATGAAGATGAGCAGATGTGAAGATGAGCAGATGTGAAGATGAGAAGGTGTGAGAGAAGGTGTGAAGATGAGATGTGAAGAAGAGCAGATGTGAAGATGAGAAGATGAGATACAGACCCCCACTATTGGAAGAACCCTGCGCTCAGACGCTCTCGGGAAAAAAGGCAAGATGCCAGAAACACACTGCTTTCACGGCAGCTGTGCGACAAGCATCATACCAAGTTTGGGCCAGACCCTCTTCTGTCAGGCTTCTTCGTTGAATTCTGCAAAAATCCATCGGTCTCGCAATCTTAGGGAGCAGAAAGACATGATTCCCAAACAGACATGTTTACTGTTTACCTGAGTCAAAGACATCTTTTTGCCACTCTTGATCTGCCATGGCCGTTGACAAAACAAGACTGCAAAAATGAGTCTTCTCTCAGGCAAACTCAAACATTGTCAAAAGAACTTTGGATGTTCATTCTTGAAAGGAGCCAGAAGAAGCCATTGAGATGGCAGCAGAGGACAGACAGTTGCTTTTGCGTTTCGCAGCACTACTCTGATTTCAACTTTGCTTAACACTGATTTGGAGATAGATGGATGGTAACGATGGCAACTTGCCTTTCATGAGGTCTGCTTGGACGTTTCATTTGCAGGTTCGGGGGAATGAACACCAACCGTGGCATTTCAAGCCGTCGGTTGGAACATGGTGGGCATCTCAGAGTTTTTATCCCATTCGGATCCGTTTGGATATATTTGGATCGGGGCCCATTTGGCTTCAAAGCTTGAAACAGGAGTCAGCATATATGTCTGCTTGATTCTGCTTGTCTGTGGTTCAGAGTTGGTGGCTTCTTGATTGAGCTTGCCAAACTTTCAACAGATTCACTGCGTTTGAAACTTAATCGGAACGGATGGGTGCTGGTCTAAGGATCCAACGACCAATTCAGCTTCAGATCCAGGACGCGCCGTGGTTTGGTCTTGCACTTTCGGGTTTTAGTAGAAAGACATGATTCCCAAATAAAGATGTTTACGGAACCCCTTCACATGTCTCTGACTTTGCTGATCTGTTATGGAAGACTGGGTTTGCTTAAAGGAGATATCGCGCATTGTCAAACGAGCTTTGCTTTCCATTCTTGAAATGAGCCACCTCCATCAAACGAACTTTGGATGTTCATTCTTGAAAGGAGCCAGAAGAAGCCATTGAGATGGCAGCAGAGGACAGACAGTTGCTTTTGCGTTTCACAGCACTACTGTGATTTCAACTTTGCTTAACACTGATCTGGAGATAGATGAATGGTAACGATGGCAACTTGCCTTTCATGAGGTCTGCTTGAACGTTTCATTTGCAGGTTCGGGGGAATGAACACCAACCGTGGCATTTCAAGCCGTCGGTTGGAACATGGTGGGCATCTCAGAGTTTTTATCCCATTCGGATCCGTTTGGATATATTTGGATCGGGGCCCATTTGGCTTCAAAGCTTGAAACAGGAGTCAGCATATATGTCTGCTTGATTCTGCTTGTCTGTGGTTCAGAGTTGATGGCTTCTTGATGGAGCTTGCCAAACTTTCAACAGATTCACTGCGTTTGAAACTTAATCGGAACGGATGGGTGCTGGTCTAAGGATCCAGCGACCAATTCAGCTTCAGATCCAGGACGCGCCGTGGTTTGGTCTTGCACTTTCGGGTTTTAGTAGCAAGACATGATTCCCAAATAAAGATGTTTACGGAACCCCTTCACATGTCTCTGACTTTGCTGATCTGTTATGGAAGACTGGGTTTGCTCAAAGGAGATATCGCGCATTGTCAAACGAGCTTTGCTTTCCATTCTTGAAATGAGCCACCTCCATCAAACGAACTTTGGATGTTCATTCTTGAAAGGAGCCAGAAGAAGCCATTGAGATGGCAGCAGAGGACAGACAGTTGCTTTTGCGTTTCGCAGCACTACTCTGATTTCAACTTTGCTTAACACTGATTTGGAGATAGATGGATGGTAACGATGGCAACTTGCCTTTCATGAGGTCTGCTTGAACGTTTCATTTGCAGGTTCGGGGGAATGAACACCAACCGTGGCATTTCAAGCCGTCGGTTGGAACATGGTGGGCATCTCAGAGTTTTTACCCCATTCGGATCCGTTTGGATATATTTGGATCGGGGCCCATTTGGCTTCAAAGCTTGAAACAGGAGTCAGCATATATGTCTGCTTGATTCTGCTTGTCTGTGGTTCAGAGTTGGTGGCTTCTTGATTGAGCTTGCCAAACTTTCAACAGATTCACTGCGTTTGAAACTTAATCGGAACGGATGGGTGCTGGTCTAAGGATCCAACGACCAATTCAGCTTCAGATCCAGGACGCGCTGTGGTTTGGTCTTGGAGTCTTGCACTTTCGGGTTTTAGTAGAAAGACATGATTCCCAAAGAAAGATGTTTACGGAACCCCTTCACATGTCTCTGACTTTGCTGATCTGTTATGGAAGACTGGGTTTGCTCAAAGGAGATATCGCGCATTGTCAAACGAGCTTTGCTTTCCATTCTTGAAATGAGCCACCTCCATCAAACGAACTTTGGATGTTCATTCTTGAAAGGAGCCAGCTCTAGCCAGAGAGATGGCAGCTGAGGACAGACAGTTGCTTTTGCGTTTCACAGCACTACTGTGATTTCAACTTTGCTTAACACTGATCTGGAGATAGATGAATGGTAACGATGGCAGCTTGCCTTTCATGAGGTCTGCTTGAACGTTTCATTTGCAGGTTCGGGGGGGGTGAAGGGCCAATATGGAACTTAAAGCCATCGGTTGGAACATGGTGGGCATCTCAGAGTTTTTATCCCATTCGGGTCCGTTTGGATATATTTGGATCGGGGCCCAGTTGGCTTCAGAGCTTGAAACAGGAGTCAGCATATATGTCTGCTTGATCTGTTATGGAAGACTGGGTTTGCTCAAAGGAGATATCACGCATTGTCAAACGAGCTTTGCTTTCCATTCTTGAGATGAGCCACCTCCATCAAACGAACTTTGGATGTTCATTCTTGAAAGGAGCCAGAAGAAGCCATTGAGATGGCAGCAGAGGACAGACAGTGGCTTTTGCGTTTCACAGCAATACTCTGATTTCAACTTTGCTTAACACTGATTTGGAGATTCATGGATGGTGATGATGGCAACTTTTTTTTTCA